GCAAAGTCCTATCGTAGCACCGAAACCGGCAAAAAACCTGCTGAAAAGCGTGCGGCCTAATACTAGCGGGTGTGGACCTATATATATATATATAACATACAGCATGACCGTTAAGCTCTGTTTGGCCAAGCCGCTTTCTTGTCGTATCTTCATACCGTAACTGTTATAGTAAGTCTGTGGTCTTCCTCGTCCACACCATCATCACACTCATCGTCACTATCACCATCATCACGACCATCATCAAGAACGAAAAGGCTAGCCCTTCCTATCACCGCAAGGAGTATGATAGCATTTCTCCATTGTTTAAGCCTCGGTCAAAGAGGACTACGATATATCACACTTGAATACACCTGGCCATGATCAAGAGTGTGGGTTTGCATCATGAATAGAACAGCCCGTCTCCTGTCTTCATAAACTTCATACCAGAAGAAAGTTTTCCGCATGCAAGGAGCAACAAAGCAAAGATCTGCTGCATTTTTTCCGTAATCATTGATGTCATAAGAGCAAAGGCAAACCTGTTTCCTCCATACACAGCGAGGAAACACCCTGTTTACCGATAAGAGAGCTCCGACCATCCTTCAACACAACATGAGGTGGTCGTCTCTCCATAGCCTCATAGCACGGGTGGGCACACTTCTATATCTCTATGCTTTGGTCAACAACAGACAGACCAGCTTCAGTACATCGTGAGAGCATTTAATTGTGAAGCTGCTCCGTTCTCCCAATGTTGAAACGAAACGAGAGAGCATTTCCCAACCATGAGAAGCCAGAGGAGAAGCAAGACAATTCCTACGCTGCTTCTTCAGAAACTCAGTAAAATAGTGGTTCGTTTCGGTTTGTTCGGTTGCTGGAATGAGTCTTCAGGCTTTTCCGGTTCCTGCGATTCAGGGCGCTTTGCTTTGCGGCCCGGCTCGGTTTGGTACAGAAAACCGGCAAAGCAGAGGGCGCCCTTTGGGACGGGAGTGGGATGGAGGGGTGAGTTTTGCGGGTCGGTTCGGCGGTTGGTGGTTTTTGTGGTACATGTGGGTGTTCAAAAAGCTTGAAGTGCGAAAATATCGCAGGGTTCAAAAATCACAACAACTCCCACACTCCTGGCATCTTTGGGGCCGCCAATGTCAGAGTTCGGGCATTTTGGCTTGTTTGTTATGCTGAAGCCTTACGGCGTTTGGGCAACGTGATTTTGGTCAGTTTTGATCCCCGCCGAGATGTCGGCATCTCAAGTTAACAGCCTGCCGTCAGGCTCAAACATACCCGTTTTCAGCAAATGTGTCGGAGGGAATGAAGAACATGCAAATTTCTCAAATTACTGGGACCTATCCATTTGAGGTGCTTTTTGTGTTTCTTTTTGAGCCTGGCGGCATTTGGGACACGATTTTCGGCATGTTTCATTCCTGCCAAGGTTTTGAAATGTCAGACCAGAAAAGGGCAACCAGGCTTAAAAACACAGTCACCCAAAGACCCACTAGGGGCAGAGTTGCCCAGGTTTGGGGTATTTTGGGCCTTGATTCCTGCCGAGATTTTCGCATGTCAGGTTTTGGGAATTTCATCGAGTGTCCCCAGCGCTGAGATCTTTCTACCTACCATCTATCTATTTGTCTATCAATTTGTCTACGTATCTGTCGATCTATCTATCTTTGAATCTTGCCTGTACATCTGCATACAATTGTACTTATAGATATGCGTCCGTACGCAGGTGTGCCTGCATGCATGTGCACACGAGCTCTGATGCCAAGCAGCGAAGATACATCGGCTGAAGCCTGCGTGTAGGTTAGCGTAGTAAGAGTTCAGCAGTTGGGGCTTACGACATCTTACGACCGCGCGAGGTTCGCTTCGGCCAACCTCAAGACCGTTACCTGGCCCTTCATTCATATTCGACAGTCGATGTTCACATTGCCTTGTTCGCATGCTGGGACGCAGCATTGTGAGCTACGTCAGCCCAGGATCCTGAATTTCAGGAGCAAGCGGCATGGTTGAGCAACCATGCTCCGGTTGCAAGTGTGGCGGCTGCACCTTCCGGACCGCGATTGGTTCACTTGCCTTTGCGGCTTCGTCGTGCCAGTTACTGCCGGAGTCCGCAAAGCTGCATACCTGCTGCAAGTGGAATGCAGGAGACTTGCCGCTTTTCGATGAGAGGATGTCAATCCCTCCGATGCCCGTTGCCGCATAGCTGAGCCATTTTTTGGCTTTGGTTCTTTGCTTGTGTTCGGGGCATCCCGAGCCGGCGGAGCACCTCAACATGAGGTGCACTCGAAGGTGGGGACGCTCGAAGGTTCATCCACTCGCCGAGTGCGGTTCTAGTAGAGTCTAGCACGAGATCACTACAAGGTTTGGAGAAGCCAGAGCTAGATGGAACCTGCTGTGCCTCTGTACATATGTTTCCTCATACTTCTGCTTGCGAAGCGCATGACCCGTGACATGGTGCGAATACCGCATCGTGCGGTACCAGTCAGCAGCAAGAAGTGACAAGAAGGAAAGTCGGAAGCAAGCCAGGAGGAGGCTCGCCGTGCTGCCTTTGGCACATGCCTGTCACTTTTGTCCAAGGCGTGATGGAGCTTTTTCCGAAGGCGTCCGCTTTGGCGACAATGAGGCACGCGTCTCGACTCCAGTGTGCAATGCGAGCCATGCGTGCCTGTGCCGGGTGAGCTGATGACTGAAAGGCGAAGCTATCCGGTGGACCTCGTGCACGCTGGTGTCACCAGCTCAGTGGTGCTGGCATCCCAATGCGGTGCAACTCAAGCTGTCTACGTCGGAATTGTTCTCCATGCTTGACAGGCGTCAGAATGGGGGGCATCTGGCAAAGGCCACAAACAGGACGGACAAGGGGCTGTTGCTGGACAGTGGATCTGCAGTCGCCGCAGCAAGGCATCTTCAGGATGTCTGGTGGAGGCTGTGCGAAAGTCTGAGGAGAATTGCAGATATCTCAGCAAATTCAACCACAAAATGCAGCGGCACGGTCGTTAGCTGACATACTCTCAGGCAAGGCCACGGTGACATTCCGTGATCAACAGACCGCAGAGCTCCAGGCCAAAGAGAAGTGCTGCTGTCGGAACACAGCATCAGCGTTTGTCACTACTGATGGACCCATGTGGAGTACAGGACGTGGCAGTTCCTGCTGGCAACTGGTCGACTTCTTAGGGCCGCACATGCAAGCCACGACTCCAGGTCCATGTCCAAGGTGTTGGTTGTGTTTCTTTTCCCAGGCGAGCGGACGAGCTTCAGGCTGGAAGCCTGCGCTTGACCCCCACGCAACAGCGTCTTGCCTAGTCCTCAGTAGGCTTCTTGCACGAATTGGATTCTGCTCAAACATTTTCGTCGTTGGAGCACCAGGTGGGGGCAATCATGCAAGACCATGCAGCTGGTATGGATATCTGCCTCGTCGGAGAGAAGGTATGTGCCCGGGGTTGCGAGAGCTTTTTTGAGCCCTTTTCCGCCACAACACGTTCTGCCTGACAGGGCGTTGGCAAGAGTGCACTGGTGCGAGCATTTTCAGCCCAGCTGGGATTGCGACAGCGGGTGATATTCTGCTTCAAGGCACATGGGTGTGGGGGCCGTCGTGAGCAACTTCCATCTTGTCCCGTTGCGGGTCAGGACCTGCTCGCTCGAGACTTGCTGCAGCGGCGCACTACGGACCAAGCTGGGCAGACACAGTGGCAAGACTCTGCACTTGTGCAGGCAGGTTGTGATGCCTGCCAACCTGGCCTTGCTCATACGAGCACGTACACACACTCAAATCGCGCTTTAACTCACTTCTTAGCTCCACTGTACTGCCCTCACACGTCACAGCTGGAGCAATATGCCGAGTGCATTTTCGTAAGTTGGCTACGAAGTTACCGATACCGCTTGTCTCGCGAGCTAGTTTGGCCATGCCTACAACGATCACTTGGAGCCACTTCAGTCAGAGTAAACAGGGTTTCGGAACCTCAGGCATTCTGCGAATCTGTCGAGATTGGTCCTGTGAGTCTAGTGCTGCTGGTCGTGTTCGCACATCTGAATTCGAGGGAGTTGGATGGCGTTCTTGCTCACGGAAGGCGGCCATTGGCGGGGACATAGCAGTGTTGGATGGCCTGCATCGCTTGGCACATGGCCACGTGGCTATCCTCGGTTAGGGCCTCACGGATGAAGCTGTGGCTTGGTGTGCACCTTCAATCGTGATGATGAAGCCTTGCCGTGAGGCCCGCTTCTGACTGACCGAGAAGCAGTACTGCCGGATGGCTCCCGCCTGGTGGGAGAGCTGCAGGGGAGGGTCGCAGGAGTCGTTGAAGCACGCCTTTCATTGCATGCCTTGTCGATTCAGCTGCTCATGTGCGTGCTTGAATGGATGATCTTGAATCATTGACACATCTTGGATGGCTGATGTGGGACAGGCGTCTGGTGTCTGGTTGTCAGTTCATGTTTGTGCTGCACCATGCTGCAGCCAGCCTGGTCGTGATGCGGAGCAGATTTTACAGGGATTGCACGACCAGGCTGGCTGCAGCATGGT